GATGCAGGATTCCAAGCTGTCTTGGCAAGCTTTGATGGTGACATTTCGGTCCATCTCCCTAAACACAGATTGTGGGCAGAAATCGGTAATTTACCTTTAAAAGCCACTACCAGATGCAAAAATGAACAAGTAAAAGGCCTCACAGTCTTTACAGATGCATCTGGGAAAACACAAAAAGCTGCAGTGACCTGGGTAAACCTTAATACAGGACAATGGGAACGAGAGGTACAGACCATGAACCAAGGCTCTGTGCAGGTTCTGGAACTGACTGACATTCGTATTGCCCTGGGGAAATTTTCTGAACAACCTGTTAATATTGTAACTGACTCTTGTTATGCTACAGGGTTAGTCTCACGTCTGGAATGTTCGTTTCTTCGAGATGTCTCTAATTTGGGTTCTTGTCAATCACAGAAGGTTTGATTTCTACATAATGCACACGAGATCTCACACTGACACGCCAGGGCCAACAGCTGATGGGAACCGGGAAGCTGACAAAGCAGCAATGTTTAACACAGTACCCAGGGTCCTAGAACAAGCAAAATTGTCCCATTCATTTTTTCATCAGAATGCACGTTCTCTAAAGAGACAATTTAAAATAACGATTAATCAAGCTCAAAACATCATCATGGCATGCCCAGACTGTCAGAAAATCACACCCATGCCATCTCAGGAAGGCGTTAATCCCAGAGGATTAATGGCAAATGAGATCTGGCAAACAGATATCACACACACCTCCGAATTTGGCACATTAAAATATGTACATGTAACTGTAGACACACACAGTACATCACTGCCACAGCACACACGGGAGAGAAAGCCAAGGATGTAATGAGACACTGGCTCAGTTGTTTTGCTACCCTTGGTACCCCAAAACAAATAAAGACTGATAACGGACCAGCATCCATCTCAGAAAAGGTAAGAGATTTCCTGTCAGATTGGGGAATTTCACGTCACAGGAATCCCACACTCATCAAACGGACAGGCAATTGTGGAAAGAGCACACCGCACACTGAAAGAAATATTAGCTAGACAGAAAAAAGGGGGGAACCTGTATAGCCTGCAAGAACGTCTGTGGAAAGCTACATATGTTACCAGTTTTTTAAATTGTGACAGTGCTGAAAGAAGCAAGTATGAAAGGCAACATAGACCTCAGGCATCCGCCTCTCCCAAACCACCGGTCATGGTTAAAGATTTGATTTCGGGACAGTGGACGGGACCCCTAGATCTTGTGACTTGGGGGAGAGGCTATGCCCGCGTGGCTACAGGAAAAGAACTTAAGTAGATTCCTTCCAGGTGTGTAAAACCCTATTTAGGTACACAACCACAGCAGCAAGAACCAGAGTAACGCAGAAGTTATAAAAGAGTTATGTTTATGTTTCAGGTTTACATTAAGGGACGACCAATGTGGTGAAAAGCAGTCTGCAAAGTATCTGTGCATGTGTGAGTGTAAGACGGCCGTCGGTGAATGAGAGACTGAATGAATAAGAGAGTTGTTTGACTGGACAAATATTAAGACACAAAACACTTCACAAAATAACACTACCTCCACCACAGGGTCACTTTAAGAGAATTTAGTTTTGCTAAGCCTAGCCTGTTTCTTAAATAAAGTTGAACTCCCCAGTTATTTAAAAACCCTCAGATTAATAAAAGTTATAAATTTATACACGGTTGGGCTAAAGCCCCTAAGTTAATAAAGTTATTTCTCCAAGTTGCACTACCCTTTAGGAATATAAGAAAGTTTTAAAAGATTTACAATAGAAGTACAAGGGGCCAAAGCAAGCGATGTGCTGGGTCATTGCGAGCTTTGGTTTACAATGTACTGTTCTGATTGTTTGCACTGTTTTCGTGACTTCCTTAGATAATTAAGAGGGAGGTGATGTAGGGGGCATGTTTAAGGTACAGGGGATGTACCAGGGCAAAAATGCCCGAGGGAGCATGCGCCGACATAGACAACCTTATTGGTCAAAGAAGTCACATGGTTTTAAGGGATAAAACCAGTGCCGAATTTGAAATAAATCTCTTTGTTTCACCACCTCACGAGGATCGTGTTTTTCTTTATTATATAAGGACATGTGCACCCTACATAAACCCACAGATCTCACTGCTTAGTCTATGAAAGTCTGTTGAGTTCATTTAGTCCAGGATTTTAGGCTCCATCTGCCAAAATACTCTTTCAGGGCAGGAAAAATGCTGTCTACTGTGGGATTGTTGCCTGTTGCAGCCAGTTCTTGTTTCATCACCGCTGTGCTTGTCTGGTCTCCTCCAAGCTCATTGTTCATTTCTCTCAGTGATTTTCACTGTAATGCCCCCGACACGGCAAAGAGTCGCCACAGTAGTGAGAATGCAGTGTTAGAGAGTTACTACTGTAACACAACTGAATTCCTTGGCTATTCTCACCCAAAATCCAATCCCTTCGAGGCACACACTGGATTTCCCATCTTTCCCTCCTTACCCACCAAGTGCATCCATGTCTTTGAACAACGTGAATCCCACAGGAGCACTTCCCTTTGCCTGAAGCGAGACTAACCCAGACTGTTTTCCCAGCATGTTTTTAATGTGCACTACAGGAACTTTATCCCTTTCTACAGCATGTAAAAACTTGGATTGGACAGGGCCAGCCCGATTGGCACATCCCCCAGTGCTGAGTGACCAGGTGGCCTTTGCTAAATGTGCATCCCAATGTTGGCAGGTCCCAGCACCCACTGCATCATTCCATCTTTCCTAAGGCTGGTGCATGGCAGGTGTGCTGGTTTTAGCACCAGCAGAAAATTAAAATTCAGATAAGTCACTCCCCACGCCCCTTCCGGTGAGGGAGGGACAGAAAATGAGAGACTCTGGGTGGAGATAACAATTCACTAAAAGCACAGAGCAATGGAATAAGACACGCACAGTCACAACAGCAATATCAGCAGCAAAAGTATCCAGAAAGAGAAGGTGTTTCACCCCCAAAAGGGGGTCACCACCGGGCAAAGAAACAAGATGCCGGGTGCTCTCCGAGTGACGTGTCCGGGCGGCATCCCCGGACAAAGGCAATGCGGTGGGGGAGCTCCCAAGGGTAACGTGTCCAACCCCTCAGCGACAACAAGGAGAACCAAGGACAAGCCAAGCCCTGGGAGCTGGGTCGTCCCGGCCGTGTGGCGCAGCCGCTCCCTGGGCTCAGTCCCGTGCTGGCTCCTCTCTTCTCCTCCCAACCCGAGGGCTGAGGGGGCTGAGGCTGCCCCACAACCGCCCCGTCCTGCTCAGGGCTTTGGTTCAGCACCACGACCCGTCGTGGTTTCCCCTTTCAGCACCAAAGGTCCATCGTCCCGATCTGGGGAAAACGTGAGGGGGAGCAGCGGGGCAGAGGACGGGGAGCGCAGGAGTGATGCTGACAGTCCCTGCCCTGCAGAGAGCGGGGCAGGATGGAGCAGTTCCAGTGCAGAGCCCCGGTTTTTCCTGCTGGAAGCACAGCCCTAGGGATGGCATGGATGGTACAGGATAAATAACTTGGTCACACCCACAAAGAACTAAACTGCCCCTCCTGCTCTCTAACCAGGACACTGTGGTGACTGACCGTAGCAATGGGAATGTGTGATGGTTGCCATGGTAACCAACTGTAGCACTGGGAATGTAAGATGGTTGCCATGGTAACTGACCATAGCAATGGGACGGTATGATCGTTGCCATGGTAACCGACTGTAGCAATAAGAATTTACGATGGTTGCAATGGTAACTGACCGTAGCAATGGGAATGCATGATGGTTGCCATGGTAAATGACCATGGCAATGAGAGGGTATGATGGTTGCCACGGTAACTGATCATAGCAGTGGGAAGTATGATGGTTGCCCTGGTAACTGACTGTAGCAATCAAAATGTATGATGGTTGCCATGGTAACTGACCATAGCAACAGGAATGTATGCCGGTTGCCATGGTAACTGATGGTAGCAATACAACTATATGATGGTTGCCATGGTAACCAACCGTAGCAATGGGAATGTCTGATGGTTGCCATGGTAACTGAACATAGCAACATGACTGTATGATGGTTTCCATGGTAACTGACCATTGCAATGGGAATGTATAATGGTTTTTAAGAAGCACTAGGCCTTGCTTGACATGACTTTGGAGGTTGCAAACTGGTAAAGCTCTGTGTTCATACTTACAAACTCTGTGAAACTATGCAATGTTTATACTTGTTAGCTATATGTTTATAGTCATAGGTATAAGAAAATCCTGTGTTTATAGTTGAAAGTTTTGAGAAAACTGGAGATAAAGGAACACCTGCAAGATCTCGGAAAGTCCCTAAGGGCGGATCAAGAAGAGGGACTTTGGGTGGCCCTATGATGTCAGGCCACGTGGACAGAGCACCAGAACCAACGAACCGAAGGCGTGGTACGCGTGCACAGACTGAGCTATCCAATCACCTTGTTGTAAGCACGTACCCAGAAAAAACTAAACTGTATAAAAGTTAACTCATTAAATAATAAATTGAACATCGCCTGATCATATTGATTGTCTGCGTGTGTTCCGGAACTCCTGCCGGCCACAACCCCAGGCGCTGTTTCCAAAGGAACCCCAATGAAAGGGGGACGCCAGAAAGATGGGCGGACAAGTCCTGCAATGGAACTCTGTGTGTGTAGCCTCATTTTCTCCTTCAGCATCCACAGGGGACGGGACAGTGGGGGTTGGGACCTAAAAACTGTTCACGGCAGAAATTGGGGATTGAGGGGACAGTGGGAAAGTGGGAGGAACAGAGAGAAGGGTGGAAAAGGGAGGCTGGTCTGGCGAGTCTGATGGTCCCATGGGGGTCTTTGAGCACAAGGGGGTTGGCCCCCTGAGCTCCCAACTTCCTGTGGGGTGCTGGGGGCTGCTGGATCCAATCAGCCTTGGAATATGCCACCACTTTAGAGGAATTACAGAGGTGTGACTGAATCACTTTGGTCCCCCATAATTTTAATGACGGCAAATCAGATCTATTAATAGAAATAAATTATTTAGAGATACAAATGATCAGACAAAAGATCTTCATCACAATTATTTACTGCACAATAGAGACACTAAAACTACTAGGAGTACAGGATAAGATAGGACAGTGCTCTACCCTAAAGCAATTGTTGAAACAATTCTACTAAAGCTGGCACAAAAGCAATAATTCTTAATTAGAGATGGATAAAACTCCCCCAGACCAACACTCATGAGGAGATCTCTGCTCTCAACCTCCAGCAGTGACACTGGGGGCGTCCCCAGCCAAGGCAGGAATCTCCACGCACACCCAGAAAGGGTTCTGTTGGAAGAAGCTGCCCCTGGGAAAGGGGACTGGCCCTTTGTGGTCGAAAGGCATGGAGTGACAGTCACTGGACTCCAGGGGTTTCCTCACCATCAGGGGGTTCATTCGAGGTGGAAGCAGCAGCCAAAGCTCTTCCTGCAGTCGGGGCAGTTGCAAAGCTTCCCTTACTTGTGGGTCCGTTGGTGTCTGGTCAAGCCAGAGCTCTTGTTGAAGCTCTTCCCACACTCCTCACACTTGTAGGGCCTCTCCCCGGTGTGGATGCGTCGGTGGGTGACAAGGTTGGATTTCCGGTTGAAGCCCTTCCCGCAGTCGGTGCAGCGGAAGGGCCTCTCATCCGTGTGTGTCCGCTGGTGCTGGAAGAGATGTGAGCTCGTGTGAAACCGCTTCCCACATTCCCCACATGGGTAGAGCCGTTCCCTGGTGTTGAGGTGCTGGTACTGCACCAGGTTGGAGCTGCTACTGAAGCTCTTCCCAGATTCCCCACACGTGTAAGGCCATTCACCAGTGTGGATATGCTGGTGTCGAATCAGGTGGGAGCTGTACCTGAAACTCTTTCCACATTCCCTACATGTATAGGGTCGTTCCCCAGTGTGGATGCGCCGGTGTCGGATCAGGTTGGAGCTGTCACTGAAGCTCTTCCCACATTCCCCACAGGTGTAGGGCCGTTCTCCAGTGTGGATCATCTGGTGTCGGATCAGGCTGGAGCTGTCACTGAAGTCCTTCCCACATTCCCCACACGTGTAGGGCCGTGCCCCAGTGTGGATGTGATGGTGTCGGATCAGGTCGGAGCTGTCACTGAAGCTCTTCCCACACTCCCTACAGGTGTGGGGCCGTTCCCCAGTGTGGATGCGCTGGTGTCGGGTCAGGTCAGAGCTGTGCTTGAAGCTCTTTCCACATTCTGAGCACTTGAAGGGCTTTTCCCTGCTGGGAGGTTGCTCAGAGACCACCAGGTCAGAGTTCCCCCTCAAGCTCCTGCCACCTTCCCGGCACAGACTGGCTCTTTCCTCCTCAGAGCACCCTGGGATGGCTTTGGAGCCCCTCCTGCGGGAGGATCTCCGGCCCTTTTTCTCCCCACTGCCTTCCTGCACCATGGAGCCCTTCAAAATGGCCTCTCCCACCAGGGTCTCACGGGGGGATTTGTCCTCCGGGCTCTCCGTCCTCAGCTCGGGGCCTGGGGCAGGAAGCAAGAAGGACAGGGAGGGGATTTGCCTCCAGCCCAGAGGGAAGGCCAAGGACATCCCCCCAGCTCTGGCCCCGGTAGGGGGGTTGTTCTGCAGCCGGGGATCATGCTAGATCATGTGTGCCTAGATCATGCAAGCAGAAATCATGAAAATCTTTTTTAAAAAAAATAAGAAAGTTTTCAGACACAACAGACTAAACCATTATAGAAAACAAAACTATAGTTGTGATATAAATACTTAAGATAGAGTTAAGTTAGTAATAATGTTGTATTGAATTGTAGTAGAAAAATTTTCATTGTATTTTGTTTATTGAAGATTGTATGTTAGTTGTAGAATTTGAAATCATTGTATGTAATTTTGCAAGGGCGAGGGGTGGAAATTGTGGTGGTTTGAAAAAAAACCTTTCCCTCTGGGGCTTGTGATAGTCTGCCCAGGGGTGGTGTTTTAGATACTGGACCAATTAAAAACTTTGTGCGCCCTTGCAGAAATTACCTGTTCACAGAAACAGAAGAGAAGGGTTAATTTTAACTGCATAGCTGGAAGGAGAGGCAGCCATGCTTTGAACCGGACTCCTGTGGCGCGGGCCGGGGGGCCTTTGCCCTTGGCTCCTGGCCGGGGGGACCAGGAGCAGCACAGCCACTGAGTGAAGCCCCCCTGAAGCCAGTGACCGAGGGGGACCCTGAAAGATCGGGAAGACCCCCTGGGTTGCATTTTCTTCCCCCCCTTGCAGTGGCGGGGGAGGAACATGGCAGAGGTGCCCAATGGTGCCAGAGGGCTGCAATCGGCGCAGACACGGCGCTGGAGAGGAGCCAGCGCGAGTCGAGGGGTGGCTGGAGAGGGCCAAGCTGAAGAGCCCTGACCTTTGGAAAGGCGGCTGCAGCACACAGTCATGGAAGTGCTGAGGGGAGTCTCCTCCCATGGGTTTGGGGGAGTCCCTGGGCCCCGCTGTCCTGGTCCAGCCAGGACTGCAGGAGTTAAACTCCCCAGGAGTTTTCCAGCTGACCTCACCGCCTTTTCCCACCATGGAGGGGGAGAAGTGGTGAGAAGTTGGCTGGACCCTGCAGCAACAGCCGAACCAGTGAATCCAAGAACAGAGCAGATGGAGAGAAAGAGAGTCAGTTGGACTCAGTTCTAGGGTAAGAACTTGAACTAAACTAAAAGCCTTAGAACTCTTAATCCCCGGGGAGGAGAGGTGGAAATCTCCGAGAATTCATTCCCCGGGGGCCAGAACCTCCGCTTAACAAGAGCAGGGGATAAAGACTTTAATCTCTAGTATTTCGTGCTGCAGAAGAAAGAAGAATCCTAGCTGTGACAAATCAGAACTGCTGCCTTAAAAATAAGAGACATTTACCAGTGCCGCAGAAAATTATATTGGAAGAGCTGTGGCCTGAAAGTGCAAGAGGATTTCTTCTCCTTTCCTTCTGGACTCTTTTTTGAAGGAAAGGAGAGACAATCTATGTATATATATTGTTTCACCATAGAAGAGATAGTTAAATTGTTACATGTATATATATATATGTATATATGTAAATAATAAACTGTAATATATATTCCCCTCCCCCTATACTAAGTTGTGTGTGCGTCTGAAAAATTCTTCTCTCTCGCATTAGAACAATTTGTAGGAAAAAACTTTTAAAATTAGCTTTTTGAAATTCCTGTTTTTCAAACCACCACAGGCTGCCAGAGTCAGCACAAGACCAGTCAAAAGGGGCCACTGACTTCCTCCTCACCTGCCTGGGGGGCCTGAGGCATCTTCCTCTTCCTCGCAGCCTCCTCCTCCATCCGCCCAAGCTCTGGGAAAGAAAAATCCTGATGGAGGAGAAAACAAGGGCTGAGCGCATTGGCTTGGGGATTCCTCCTGCCCAAGTCCATCTCTAGAACTCACCGGGCATCCTGTAATCATAAAACCCTCAAAACCACAAAAATTTAGCACAGAAAAACCCAAACCACTGACATTCAGTCAAAAAACCCCTCAGAAATAGCGTGACGAACACCCTCACAAAATGCAAAAACTTAAAATTCAGCCAAAAAATACACCAAAATATGAAGATTCAGACCAAAAAAAGGTGTTTAATTGGGAGGATGAGGGGAGTGAGGTCATTTCATGAGCACTTGATTGAGTTGCTATATGTTAATCAAAAGCTGCATTAATGTAGTGTCACTTAAATCTCGCCAGGGCTGTTACTCGAGGTTCTCTGGCCCCCTGCCAGTCCGGGGCTGTTTCTCCAAATCACCAAACCACGTGTGCCAAACGCCCTGGTTGGTCAGTGCTGGCTGGGGGAGCGGGCACTCGCTGAGGGGATGAGAAAACTGCAACCAGGGCTGGGCTGAAAGAGGCTTCAGCACCACTTCTGATGGCCCAGGGGCAGCATCTGGCTTCTCCCAAACAGAGAGAGGGCACTTGTTCCTCTGCAGCGAGTCAAGGGCAGGAGGGTGACACCTCCTGCATGGATGGAATGGCAGAGGATGCCTTGGGTCCCCAGGATGGATCAGCACTTGGGGATACAAACTGCCCTCGGGTTCAGGATGCAGCTGCCAGCACAGATTTCCCTGCAAAGCCTGCAGTGAGTCAAGCTCTGCAGAGGAGATTGTGCCCAATGGATGGGATTGCAGAGGCTCCCTCAGGTCCCCAGCAGAAATCAGCAACCAAGAATAGACACAAAAGGCCTACCCTGAAGAGTTGTGGGGGAGTGTCCTGTACGGAGGGGACAATGTCACCCCACCAGAGCAGGGCTGGCAAGTGGAAGGCTGCTCCAGGGCTCTGCAAGAGGCCTCGTGCTCTGCTCGGCCCCAGCACTGCCTGGTACCAACATCCCCGGCTGCCCCC